TTAATGTAATATTCTGACCAAAGCCCTTACGCTCTACATTGGGATGCCAGTAGCTCTTTTCCTTTTTTTTTTACTAAAAACCTGTATAAAATCTTATTCTGGTAGGTTTAAGATTAAGATCTGTTAATGTTCTGATCATGTGTATTATTGTTTTTTAAAATTTCTTCCTGCATTAGTTATATATATATATATATATATAGCCTACTGACATATGGAAATAAACTAAAAGCATTTATCATGATCTCTATGTATTATCTTTCATATATATATACACACACACACATATATAATTTTGTGTGTCTCATACTATTTTTTCCTACAAGGTTGAAATTCAAAAATAGCCTTTATAACTGTAGCACAGAATATTTAACATATATTTATTCTGATTTCAGATTTTAAATAATGGAACCTCCATTCGCTGATTCAATTAGGCTATGTTTCTCTCCATTATGCTTTACAAAACATATTCTTTAAATGTATTCTTTCACTTCTGGTTCTACAAGTGTTTGTCCTTCAGCATTTAGTCCAACTGTTGAGTGCTCATTATGTGTTGAGCATAATGCTCAGAGCTAACGTTTCAGAGGTTTGTAAAAAGAATCTTGGCCACTGCTTTCATGGAGCTTATGGTCAAGAGAGGGAGAAAGCAAGAAGCAAATATTTACACACATTGAAAACTTTCATAAAACATGCTATAAAGAAAACTACAATGTTGCTATATGAATTTAAAACAGAAGAATTTACCTAGTCTGAATAAGCATGAAAGGCTCCCCGAGCAAGAGACATTTAAGTTGAGACCTAAAAAGTCATTAGCAATAGCCTAAGAAAGTTAAACTGGGTGAGAAGGCATTTCAGGCGGAGAAAACCATTCATCTGAAGTCTCAAAGTCGGATGCATGGAAAGCTGATGTGGTTAGTCAGCTCATTTCCTTCATATCCTACTGACATATGGAAGTAAACTAGAAGTATTTATCATGATCTCTATGTATTATCTTTCATTGCAAAAAAGTATATGCACTCATACATATTAGTGGTAACAAGCACTGGGCTCTATATATAAACTCTGTGAAAACTCTATGAAATTACACAATTTTTTTATGTGAAAAAAAGTTATTTCTAGCAACAGCAAAAACATTTTGAGTCATGGGCTGGGTCTATTTCTTTGAGATTTCTTAACAGCACCATATCTAGTGCCCTAGAAAAATATTGGCTGCCTGTCCATTAAGAAAAACATTGACCTATGGAACCAAAGCACAGAGAGTTCCACAATTTTCTACAGCAAACAATACTTTCTTTAAAAATTAACAGAATCTAGGTACTAAACATTCTCATGGCAACTTAACTTAGAGATACAGGACTAGGTAGCTATGACTATTTTTAATTAAATCTCTCTGACTGGGAGATTAAATTAAACAAAGTCCTTTTCCTGGACTTTGTTTTTTTCGGCCAAGCAAATTTTCATAATGACACATGCCTATTATCAACCTTATATTCTAGAATAAATGAGGACTTTTAAATACAGTTGAAAAGAGTGTATAAATATAACAATGGGAAAATTTTGGACCTACAAGACTTGAAATGATCAGGTTATGAAATGAAACAGGAGGTTCATAGATGATACAGCATCAGCACAGTTGACAACCACCATAATTTGGGGGAAAGCCAGCTGCTATATCTTAAGTTTTATTCAATAAATAAACTCAGCATTTTATTGCTTAACTGAACTCACGATAAGAATACATGATCTAATGCCAGACCATGAATTTTGTAACAGAAAACACATCATGGTGCCTAACTTATAATTCAAATTATAAACTGGCCAATGATCATGGAGTCATTTTTCCTACATGGTGAGTCATCTAATTTACAACTTAGAAAAGCAATGACAATTCATCTTCTAATTTTATTTGTGATGCTTAACAATGTTATAGAGCATGTAAGTGTTTTCTCTCAGTGCTAAATTTAAAATCAATATAAATCAGATGTGTTTGAATTACAAAGTGTTTGCAATAGGAAAAACAACACAGCTTGTATCTGCAGTATTTATATTGTGAAAATATTTCTATATAAATAAATAGAAGTGTGAATGGCAACTTATTTTCAATTTTATCACTTTATTTGTTATATAAATATATAACAGATAACTCATATCTCTAAATGGAATAAGATGTAAATCAATGTACTAAAGAAGGACTCTCAGTTTAGTTTTAAGCAGAGATTAATTTTCTATCGCTGGATGGACTTATTCCACTAAGTACCTCTCTTGCCCTGTCCATAGTCTCCCCTAGCTTATTTTCTACAGAGTAGCAAGGAATCTTTTAATAATGTAAACAGGTTTGTATCAATTCCCTGCTTAAAATACACATCACATTGTTCTTCCATTGCTCACAGGATTCTACTTCATGTGATTCCTGCTAAACTCTCTGGCCTCATCTCATGCCACAAATCCACCTTGTTTACTGTGCCGCAGCCTAACAAGCATTTTTCAGTTTTTAATATAGTGCAAACTCTTTTCAACCTCAGGGCCTTTACACAAATCAGTCTCTTTGCTAAAACACTCTTCTCCTGCTATACAGCATGGCTGGCTTCATCTCACCCTTCAGTTCCAAGTTTAAGATCACCTTGTCAGAGAAGCCTTTTCTCATCACTCAGTGTTAAGTAGGTCATTTTCCCAATACAAATGTACACCTTTACATTTTTATTCTCTGACTCTTTGATCTTTTCCTTCATTGGAGTTTATTAGTTTATTTACTCTATTCACTAAACAAGAAGGATAGAAACCAAGTTTTTCTTATGCAATATAATATTCTTAGTTCTGGTAAAGTAGGTAACATTTTTAGGTGCTCTGTAGAAACTTACTGACTGCTTGACTAAGTGAATGAATGAAAGAGGAAACTTCTTGGTTCGGGCTCGGTGGCTCATGCTTGTAATCCTAACACTTTGGGAGGCTTGGGCAGGCAGATTGCCTGAGCTCTGGAGTTCTAGACCAGCCTGGGCAACACGGTGAAACCCCCTCTCTATTAAAATACAAAAAGCTAGCCGGGCATGGCAGCATGCACCTGTAATCCCAGCTACTCCGGAGGCTGAGGGAGGAGATTTGCTTGAACCCGGGAGGCGGAGGTTGCAGTAAGTTGAGATCGCACCACTGCACTCCAGCCTGGGCGTCAAAGCAAGACTCTGTCAAAAATAAAATAAAATAAAAAAGAAAGAGGAAACCTCTTTGTTGCAGTTATGCTTTAATGCTCATCACATCTGACACACTGAGAGAATATGCTGAATGAGAGGAATATCAACTGTTGTGCAGCTGAGCATGGGGATTCTAATGGGGGTGTATTATTAGAGTTTCTTTTGTGCCTAGGTGTCTTTTCAATCTCAGGAGTTCTAGAAGAAAAACAATTTGTATGTTATTGCAATTTATATATTATTGTCTGGTCCTCATTGACTAAGCGAAGTGGTTCCAGACGAACACACATGGAGCATCATGGATCACTGGGTACCAGACGCTTTAGCCAGATCACCCTCACATCTGTATAATTACTGCTCCTTGGCATTCTTCAGAGCAGTGCACATGTCTTGTAGTGTTCTGGTTAGGGAGGGGGCATATTTTTTTACAGAATAACTTGGGTAACTACCTCGAGGAAATCTAGTTTACTGGTCCAGACATGGAAAATTGCTCATGTGATTATGATTAATGCTCCCTTTGAATGAGAGGAGTACAATATTTAAAGAGAAATGGTCTATGTTTAAAGATTATTTCACTGAGGGTGGAGGATAAGAATTAAAACATAAATAAATGTTTTTATAAATATATATTTTGACTTTTGAGAAAAGGGGTGACAAATGAATTTTTTCTGTGGTTTTCATGGCAAAATCTTAAATTCTTGCCATTAATGGTAGTGTAGGACTCATGAGAACCCAGGAATCTTGACTAAAAGTCAGGAGACTGCACTTAGGTGAGAGCAGTATTAGCATCTTTTTAATTAACTACTTTTGACATCCTTATCATTCAAAAGTAGAGAAATTCCAGACTAATGTTATCAATGATTAAATCTAAGTATTACTTTATAAGGTACCCAGTAGATTAAAATAGTAGGGTTACAACCTAGATAGATCTAATGAGGTCCAATACCGCTGTATGATATTTAAGTTAATATACAAAGTAGTTTTTCAACTGCCTAGCCTTTTCTATAATCTTAGAGATGGTCCTAAAACAACAAATGATATACTGTCTTACTGATTATGCATTTTTATACTTATGAAATTTTACATCAAATATCACAAAATATTTTAGTTCAGTTTCTTTATGTACATAATGTTTTAAACATTTTACATCTGTAAACTTGGATTTTAATGGATCGATTATTAAAGTTTATGTGAATATAATTATACATGTATATATTTACTGTAATCAACTTTAAGTATATTTCTGCTCTGAAACCTTCTTAATTTAGTAAGATTATTGCTTTTACCATGACAATATGCTTAAATAAAATGTGTATTTATATAATCACTATAAAGACAATTTTATCTTCAATATTGAATTTAACTTTTTTTGCAATAGTACAATCACAATAATATCTGCAGTTTGTGTCAACTCTTAAAACATAAAAGTCAAGCTAATCTTAAAATAACTAATTTTCTATTTAGTTACCTGATAACACTTACAGAATTTTGACATTTTAATTATTTGAAAAGTATTCTTCTGCTTCTGTAGTTAATACCTTAATAGCCATCATTTCATATTATAAAAATGCATTTAAAACTTTTAATAAAAAATGTGCAGAAGTCATTTAGAACCATGGGCTTTTAATCTAAATGAAAAATTATACTTTTCCTATACACAACTTCTGTAGCTGGATATGTTAAATCGTGTCTTTGAATGCAATTGTTTTATAATAATTTCTTTTCTTTTTTTTTGTATTTAGATAACTCTACATTTATTGCTATAAAATAAAAAAAGATGAGTCGGACGGGCGCGGAGACGCTTCTGGAAGGAACGCAGCGATGGCTGCTCAGGGAGAGCCCCAGGTCCAGTTCAAACTTGTATTGGTTGGTGATGGTGGTCCTTGAAAAACGACCTTCGTGAAACATCATTTGACTGGTGAATTTGAGAAGAAGTATGTAGCCACCTTGGGTGCTGAGGTTCATCCCCTAGTGTTCCACATCAACAGAGGACCTATTAAATTCAATGTAGGGGACACAGCCGGCCAGGAGAAATTCGGCGGACTGAGAGATGGCTATTATATCCAAGCCCAGTGTGTCATCATAATGTTTGACGTAACATCGAGAGTTACTTACAAGAATGTGCCTAACTGGCACAGAGATCTGGTACGAGTGTGTGAAAACATCCCCATTGTGTTGTGTGGCAACAAAGTGGATATTAAGGACAGGAAAGTGAAGGCGAAATCCATTGGCTTCCACTGAAAGAAGAATCTTCAGTACTACGACATATCTGCCAAAAGTAACTACAACTTTGAAAAGCCCTTCCCTCTGGCTTGCTAGGAAGCTCATTGGAGACCCTAACTTGGAATTTGTTGCCATGCCTGCTCTTGCCTCACTGGAAGTTGTCATGGACGCGGCTTTGGCAGCACAGTATGAGCACAACTTAGAGGTTGCTCAGACAACTGCTCTCGCGGATGAGGATGATGACCTGTGAGAATGGAGCTGGAGCCCAGCGTCAGAAGTCTAGTTTTATAGGCAGCTGTCCTGTGATGTCAGCAGTGCAGCGTGTGTGCCACCTCATTATTATCTAGCTAAGCGGAACATGTGCTTCATCTGTGGGATGCTGAAGGAAATGAGTGGGCTTTGGAGTGAATGTGGCAGTTTAAAAAATACCTTCATTGTTTGGACCTGCATATTTAGCTGTTTTGGAACGCAGCTGATTCCTTGAGTTTCAAATATAAGACTGCTACAGTCACATCACAATATTCAGTGGTGAAATCTTGTTTGTTACTGTCATTCCCATTCCTTTTCGTTTAGAATCAGAATAAAGTTGTATTTCAAATATTCGTGTCGGGGTGGGTTTCTGCCTCTTGAGACCCAGCTGCAGTCGCTCCACACACCAAGCCAATCCCTGGGCCAACTGCTTGCACGGGAACTTCCTCTGGGGCGGGTTTCTCTGAGGCCTTCTCGCCTCCATTTGCCACCGAGGCCCTGTTCCGGGTTTTCTTCTTCTTTTGTGCCTTCATCGCCTAACGGGTGCGCTCTGGGGTCGGCGTTACTGCGCGGCAGAGACAAGACAGTGGAAGGATTCCCGGCGCTGGAAACCGCGCCGGGAAGCCGGCGTCTGCGGGAGGCGCAGTGAGTACCCGCGCCTGGGGCCCACGCTGCCTCCCCGGCATGAGGTCCTAGGGCCTGGAGGAAGGAGGGCAGCACGAGGGTGCCGGAGGGCCGCCGCAGTGCAAGGCCCCGCCACCCGCGCGTCTTCTCCACACCGCTCGCCGCCATGCGTCGCAGTCGCCTCCCTGTTTTATAATAATTTCTAACATGTGAATCAGATGCTAATATTGCTTCAGCATTTTTGTTTCTTATGGTCTTTTTGTTTATTTTTTTAAAAACCTAGTCTCATATATATATATATATATAAAAAAAACTTATTTTAGGTTCAGGGTTACATGAGTAGGTTTATTATATAGGCAAATTGCGAAATTCGGTGTCTTATGAGCTTTGTGTGATTAATGATGTCACTCTGGTGCCAATGGTGGATAATAAATGTCAGCATACATTTGAAGACAGTAATTCATTTATTTTCAATATATTTGAAGAGACAAACTTAATGTGTGATTTTTTTCACTAAATATGTCCTTTTATATTTTTACTACTACCTAAAAAGTTATAACATTTAAAAACAACATTACAATCAGTAAAAATAAATTAATAGTCTTACAGCATTTTATAAAAGTCAAAATCTCTGTTGCAGCAGCATCCAGAATATTTTCTATAGGTTCTAAGACAGAACTACTGAAATCTTATTTACCAAATATATTTCATACATACCTAACCTATAATTCCTCATTTTTCCCACTGACTGCTGAATGTTGGCATGATGGCTGAACACACTTTAAAGGCCAAGGCATGAGACATGTGCCCACTGGTTGGTACAACATATTTCCTGCAGAAACCACAGCATAAATTACTTTTCCCACCAGCTTAGACAATAGAAGGACTTATCTATGCTGAGCTGCTTACATCTGAGCACAAACCGTTTTGAATGATACTCTTTCATTCTATTCTCGGAAGAGAGATGTTAGTAACATAGTGTCTAGAAAGGGTCAGAAAAAAGAAAATGAGCAATTCATACTTTCAAGTTTGACTTTTGTAAAACTGAAAACTTTGTTCAGTGTACTTGTATCTCCCATTAGTGTACAAGACCACTAGGCAAAAGCTGAAAGGACAAAATGGATGTTTATAAAACTCAGCTGTTACTATTAATTAAAAGTACTTTGTTATTAATGTTTATTAATTTCAAATGAAAACAATCTGAAATACATTCTAAACTTGCTGTGACAATAGGACAAGAGTTGTAAAATTGGACTCCCCAGCCAAATTGCAACAATATGGAGGTTCTTCTATCTATGAGAGAATCTAAATCTGTGAAACCAACAAGGTGTTTTTCAGCCAAATCCTAGAAGTAGAAATTAAAAAAAAAAAGTTTGAAGTAGAATCAGATTCTAAAATGGAAAGACATTTATAGCAAGGTTCTACATGGTGCTCTCAACGGCCACAATAAAAATAGAGTTCCTGGATATTTGATGCTATCTCTTATACTCATAATGTTATTTATTACTGAGTCCTCATACTTCCTGTAACCCCAACATTAGTATCTCCATCATGCATCTGTGCCTTATGTAGCGACGGAGTGCTGTGACATTCTCCTACATTGGCGGTGTAGCATTCAGCCAAATGACCACAGTGCAACCAAGCTCAGGCCCTGCTGGAGGTAGAAATACTCAGAGTGCTTATTTTATTTTCTTTAGAAAGTTAGGTAAGTGGGAATATGATGTGGGTTAAGTCAGTCAGATTCTCCTATGTTTTATTTAAACTCTTATGCAATGGCAAAGTCAGAATTTGAGATCTGAAAGTTGCCAGAGTAAATTAGGGGTAAAAGTATACTTATATGGCATGTTGTCTAACACATAGGGTGAAAGAGTGACATGAAGACCATGTTGGCCTGTGTAGCTCAAGATAGGGTATCAAAAGAGAGAGGGCCCTAGAAAACATGTTCTGTGGTAGCCTCATATGAGGGGAGAATGGGGATCCACAAAAAAGAGAAGTGTTAGATGATCAAAATACCCAAGAGTTCAGTAAGTCTGGTGAAGCTGTATATGCTGTAGAAAAGAAAGTAAGAGACCAGTTGACTTGGGAGAAATTATAGCACTCATAAGCAAAGCAGAGATTGATTTTTACTCAAGCAGAGGTTTAGAACCCCAAAACCAGAATACACATTAAAGACCCTTCTCAATAACATTGTGATGGTTAATACTGAGTGTCAACTTGATCAGACCGAAGGATATAAAGTATTGATCCTGGGTGTGTCTGTAAGGGTGTTGCCAAAAGAGATTGACATCTGAGTCAGTGGGCTGGGAAAGGCAAACCCACCCTTAATCTGGGTGGGCACCTTCTAATCAGCTGCCATTACAGCTAGAATATGAAGCAGGCAGAAAAATGTGAAAAGAGTGGACAGGCCTAGCCACCAAGCCTACATCTTTCTCCCCTGCTGGATGCTTCCTGCCCTTGAACATAGGACTCCAAGTTCTTCAGTTTTGGGACTCAAACTGGCTCTCCTTGCTCCTTAGCTTGCAGATGGCCTATTATGGGATCTTGTGATCATGTGAGTTAATACTTAATAAACTCCTCTTTAGATCTCTCTCTCTCTCCTCTCTCTCTCTCTCTATGTATATATATAGATAGATAGATAGATAGATAGATAGATAGATAGATAGATAGATAGATAGATATAGATATGAGATATATATCTTATATCTAAGCCCTTAAGCATTGTCATATGATACATAGGTTTCCTGATTTTATAACAGAATATATATATATATTCTATTAGAATCCTATTAGTTCCATCTCTCTAGAGAATCCTGACTAATACAACCAGCATGAGATTATATGGGAGTCTGAATCTCCTGTGGACATAATGAAGAACTTGAAAGCATTTGCTGCTCAGAGTGAGACAGAAGAGAAAATTACAACTAGTTATTTCTACCATAGGTTATTTCCAAAGCATTTTTATCACATTCTTTCTAAACTATTATTTTGCCAAAGATTCATTTTAGCATTTTACTTCCACCTTTCAATTATATATTTTCTGAACGTTTCCACCTACTGGTAGATTGTCATTCCAAGATCTTCATGTCTTACACCTTTTAACTTTGAGTCCTTTAGTCCTATCTGTATTTCCCTCTCCTTATTTTTAAAACCTAACTCCATCAAAGTTTTCTCCTTTTGTTACCTTAATGTTGCCATTCCATAACTTCCTTAATATTAAATAAAATAGTGCATTCATATCTTTTTTAGACTCCCTGTATTCCTTTCAGGAACCATTACATATTCAGCCATAAAAAAGGATGAGATCTTCATCTGCAACAACATGGATGGAACTGGAAGTCATTATGTGAAGTGAAATAAGCCAGGCAGAGAAAGATAAACATCGCATGTTCTCACTTATTTTGTGGGATCTAAAAATCAAAACAATTGAACTAATGGAGATAAAGAATAGAAGGAGGGTTGTCAGAGGCTGGGAAGGGTACTGGTAGTGGCAGTGGGAGTGAGGAGCAGGTGGGGATGGTTAATGGGTAAAAGAAAAATAGTTAAATAAATAAGAAAGTATTTGGTAGTACATAAGATAACTATGGTCAATAATAATTTAATTATACATTTTAAGATAACTAAAATAATATAATTGGATTCTTTCTAACACAAAGGATAAATGCTTGAGAAGACAGATAACCCATTCTCCATGATATGATTATTAGGCATTGCATGCCTGCATCAAAACATCTCATGTACCATATATACATATATCTACCTACTATATAACTACAAAAAATTAAATTTAAAAAATGTTAAAAAGAAAACAAAATTCTCACAAAAAAAGAGAAACCATTACAGTTTGATGGAAAGATCACAGAGTACTAATTTAATAAAAACCTGGGTTTGTATCCTGACTGTGATCACTTGAGGCCATCACATACTATTGCTGTGCTTCTTATGTCTAATCTTAAATTCAAGAATATCTTTCCTTTGAAGCATTTCAGGGAGACTTAAAGAGTAAATATATGTGACCACAGCTCAAAAACTACATGATGTATAGAGGAACTGAAAAAAAAATAGAGTGGAATCTGAATCGAATTCTAAAGCAGTACTCAACTTTTGAAGATAAATCAAAAGAAGGCATATATTCATTGAGTGTCATGTATTCACTGAGCATCTGCTGGATATCACTGTGTAAGGCACTGAGGATGTAAAAATAAACAACAACAACCAAATTAAACACTGTCTTAACCTTCACAGAGCTTAGAATAGTAGTATAATTCTCTTAAAAATATATCCTGAACAAAGCTAAAACCAATTTCCTTATGATGTAAGACCTCTTAGTAAAAGTTTTACTCATGCCAGACTTTCACAGTCTCAGCTGGAAATATAAACAGGAATCACCTTTAATGAATACAGGCAGAGCCCTTAAGCGTTGTCATATGATACATAGATCTACTGATTTTCTTCTCTTGTCAAGCCACTGATTGGAGAGATGGGTAGCACCTAAAAGACATTTGCTAAAGGATAATAAAAGACAAGGGAAAAGGAAGAGCTCATTTATCTGGTAAATAAGGGTATCTGCACCTGCTGAAAAATAATTTTGGTTTGAATAAACATTTCAAATGTCAGGATAATTCAGAGTGGCAACTGGCAAATATCCAATTTTTTATATGGTCAACTAAGCCAAACTTCATCTACTCTGACTCTGTAAGTCTATCTATGACTAACTGCAAAGAAGGAGAA